AAACAGAAGGTGGTGGCGTTGTCCACGTGCGAGGCAGAATATGTGGTGGCGGCCACAGCGGCGTGCCAAGCTACGTGGCTGCGCTGGCTGCTAGGCGAGCTAACCGGTGTGGAAGCTCACCCACCAGCACTGATGGTGGACAACCAGCACGCCATCGCCCTCGCGAAAAATCCGGTTCTCCACGACTGGAGCAAGCACATCGACGTCAAGTTTTACTTCCTCAGGGATTGTATCGATGGAGGGTAGATCGTCATCGAATTCGTCGAAACTGGTCGGCAATTCGCGGACGTCCTCACCAAGCCGCTCGGACGTCTTCGGTTCACGGAGCTGAAGAAGATGATCGGCATGGAGGGGGTTCTAGGGTTAGCAGGAGAATTAGGAAATGAATTATTGAGTAATCTGCTGCTCCCCTGTGTGAACGCGTTGTTGCACTGTAGCCGCTGCAGGGGTAGGCGTCGAAAGGCTCTTCTGCCGCACTATAGCCACAGCAGGTGCAGGCGTCAAAGTCAGCCCTGCGGTCACATCTAGTCACTGTAGCAGCATGACAGCCTGATATGTCTGTGTACTAGAATTAGATGAGTATAGTTGTATATATAGGGCATGTTTGGCATGGCTCCAACTCCAGATAAAGCAGCTCCACTCCAGAAATCCAGGTGGAGCTGGCTCTGAGTGGAGTTGGAGCTGTGTTTTTAGTGTGTTTGGCTAGAAAGAGAGTCTCAGCTCCAGAACCATGTTCAATCGTGTAGAATGCCCACTTTGCCCTCTGAGTAGGACCCACATGTCATCCTCTCTTGTTGGTTGCTATAGAGGAACTCACCATTGTCTACGGGGCAGAGAGCTCCGTCCGCCGGAGCAAGAGAGGGAGCCGCGGCAGAGAGCTCCGTCCGCCGGAGCAAGAGAGCAGCAGCGCTGGCAAAGGCCGAGTGGGCTCAGCTGGGAGGTCCCAGTAGCCACAGGGGGGGTGAGGCGGTGGTGTGCATGATGTGGTCGCCTAGTCGCGTGGAAGCCGCGCGTACGCTTGCTGGGGACGGCGGGGGGCTTCACGTCGCCCTCTTCTCCTTCTTCTCCGGTAGAGATGGAGGCGTCCTTCTTCCCCTTCTCCTCTAGGGTTAGGGTTGGGGATGGAGGAGACCTTCTTCTCTTCTCCACTAGGGAAAAGGTGGGGGATGGAGTAGAGGGGAAGAGAGTGTGGGGAGGAGGGGGGAGTTGGCCGTGGTATATAGAGGATGTCGCAGTGTCGCCTGGTCACTCGTCCTGGATTCTGCTGGAGAGATGGAGAGAGAGGAGAGAGGAGGAGGGAGTCTGCCATGCACGCGGGTGTGGGAGGCAGAGCGAATAGAAAGAAAAACGGTTCGAGTACTGTAATCAGTGGCAATTGCGGGTAATTTCACCCTAACTCCACGTCTAGATCTATTTTGGCTAGTTCTAGAGTCGGAGAAGAGGTGCTCCGAAACTCCACCTCCATTTGCACTACAGCTCCATAGAGTTGGCAGCTCTATGGAGTTTTGGAGCTGGGATGTTTGGCTGAAAAATTGGTTGGAGTTGCTGGAGTTCAGCTCCAGAGCCATGCCAAACAGGGGCATAGTTTCCCACTGCAACTCAGTAAAGAGAACGAGTTCATTTTTGCCATCTCATCTACAGATCTCCGGCCAACGCTGGTGTTTGTGCTGTGTGTGCGTGCTCTGTTCTCTCTCCCTTCTTCTACCTTTAGCCATAGTGTGTGGTCGACAATACTGATGAGTGGTCGGCTCACCCGTGCCGGAAAGGGGCCAACAATTTGGACCATTGAATTACTGGGCGTCCAGAACTCTCACAAGTGGTTGTTGATCCAGCTCACCTGCAATAGTTGACCTTGGAGAAAAAGATAGCTTAAGCCGTTGTGGATTGCTGGATTAATTAGAGGAACAAAAGGTGGTTACTTTGGACACTGCATCCTCTGCTTCTTTTATTTAGGGCCCCAAGGGAGTTTTTTTTAGTACATGGGAAATGCTGAAGTCAACGAGGGATGGGCAGCAAGAGCTAGCTCACTCCAGTTGGAGCGAGTGCACGGACCAATTGGGGGTTGACGATATATACATACTGAAGCCTGAACAAGCTTATGAATTGCAGGAAATGTGTCATTCAGCCAGTTTGTTGGGAGAACTGATTGGTGTATGGTGACGATGAGCTGAACTGAAGCGTGTGTGAGGTTTCAAATTTCAGAATTTCCGAGTCAACGCTGTGTCTGTGTGTATAATTGAGGAAACAGTTTGCGAACCCAGTTGTGATCATTCAGTAGTGGCTGGCTGGTTGCAGTCTGCAGACGAGTTTTCACTTGTTGACGACGGCATATGGTATAGCTGGAGCTCAAGAGTCAAGTCCCACTGGTTATTCTCATGTCTGCTGATGTTCGTTCCAATTTCGCTGCGTCATATTTCTAAGCCTATCTGCAGCGTTTTTTTTAGGAACGCCTATCTGCAGCGTTGGTTCTATAGTTAAGACTAGTTTTTGCCCAACTAAAAATGTTCCTTTTGGAACTAATTGGATGTGCAGTTCATTTCTTAGATCCATGTGCACTTCAAATTTGATACCTAAATCTGAATATCAGAATAACTGGGGACCTGTCCACCTCAGCCAACACAGCCGGTGGCTTAGTTTGGTCCCTCAGTTTCCATTAATCGAAGCAACCATCTAGCCGCACCTTTATCCAGGTGAAGTTTTTTTTTTTTAAAAAAAAAATCCTCCATTGCTGCGCAGGCGTGCGGCACGCATGAAAAATCCGCTACATTGTTTTGAAACCTTCCTAAAAAGAAGCAACTTCTGGATCTAGCAAATTGGGAATGCAGTTGTCAGCTCTCTTGTTGTCCCATCCCATGTGCTTTTTGCCGGGTGGCTGTAAAATACTAGCAAATTTGCAACTCAGCATGTTATGTTTTTTTTTTTACAACATATGTTATATATGTATTGACTTGTCTAGGTTCATTCAATTCGTATGAAGGTACCTCAAAAATTTAATCATGCAGTGCTGGAGCTGTCTCCATGCTCCCTTGTACAAAGTTAGGGAACCAAAGAATATTTTCGGTTGCTCGTGGACCAGATAAAGTCAAACTGTTTGTATAAAACGTGAGTAAAAGAACAGTCAGGATATGCTCAGTTCAAATCGTCCTTCTTGCACGATATAAGTCAACCAATCGGATGCTCCTTTTTTTCAACAATGTCAACCCAACTGTGACTGAACATTTGTACTTCTCACAACGCAAACCATGTCACCAGAGCCCCCCTTTTTTGGCACTGCAGCATTTCAATATCAGGAAATTGCGACGTTGTGCCCTTAGTCATGGAAATAAGTTATTACCTCCGAACAAAAAATAATGCAATTCTAACTCAAGGTTGACTAAAATTATATTACTCCCTCCATTCCAAATTATAAGTCACTTTGACTCTTTTTTTTTACATCCATTGTACTCCGTACTATGCATCTAGATCTAACGTATGTCTACATACATAGCAAAATTGATGTATAAAAAAGTCAAAAGCGACTTATAATTTGAAACGGATAGAGTATCAATATTTACATCACAAAATATGTATATTATGAAAAATATATTTCATGATTAATCTAATGACACTTATCTAGTTGGTGTTTTTTTTGTATAAACTTGATCAAACTTAGTGATTTGACTCTGGTACTATGCTCAATTGCATTCTTTATCAGATAGAGGGAGTATTTATGTGCTTCACAAGCCAAGCTGTTTGATTGGTAATAAAGAGTTAAAATATAATAATCTTCTACTCCCTTCATTCTAAACTATATGACATTTTGATTTTTCTAGATATATAGCTTTTGCTATGCATTTAGATTTAAATTATGTTTTTTTCTCGAATACGTAGAGTGTGCATATCATTGCATTCAAAAGGAAGGAGTTTATGTTACAAGCATTGGCGACCGGTGGATGCGCAGGGGTTTACACTATGTTTAGATTTATAATTTTTACAATGTATCTAGAAAGCCAAAACAACTTATAATTAGGAACACAGGAGTATATGTTAAGTTAGCGACAATCGGCAGGATAGAAGGTTGATGGGGTTGTAAGGCTCAACAAATTACTCAACATTCGCCTGTTCCATACTCCGATTCAGCTTTTCGATCTCCGGAGTGAACCCAAGCTTGTCCAACTAGTCTACCTAAATTGCTCGAGCTCTGCCCAGATTCATGCCTGCCTGAGTTTTCGTTGTTAGTGATATTCCTATACACGCTCACACGTTAGGGCGATAATGTTCCTTATTGTGAAAGATAAACTTTACGTGCACTTGCTACAGCTAGACGAGGAACCTTGATACGCACAACTGACACAAATTCTTCGACGGTTCCTCCAAAAGACGTGGAGGCCTGAAACATGAATCTGGCCAGGTTTCATAGTGCGACTCACGTACAAAGATGGGGTCACTTTCAGGCATATCGCAGCATATGTTACACAGTTTGTAAACAGATATTCCCATCTGGTCGAATAAAATTTGTTAATTCAGATTTCAGTACAAACAGCACGAAATTCATAAAAGCCGTGACTCCTATCCAGTAATGTCGCAGCATTATAGAGCCGATGCCGACATTTGTGAATATCGTTAGTTCGCATGGGGCATCAGGTCAGCAGTTCTGTCGTGGTTTTCAATGCAAATGCCCTAGACACAAATAAAGCACACCAGTAGTCTTCCCCACGACTGGTATTATCAGAAAATCAACCAGGGCAATCGTGGAAAATGCAGCTGGGAGATATCCTTTGCTTTGAGCCAGCTATTCAAGTTATATCTCCAGCTTGTACAGTTGGGCCACAAAGAGCCTAGTATGAAAAGGTAGATTACAATTGTTTTCCCAGTTTTGATTAAATCAATGCAAGATTTTCTTTTGGGACATGTGAAATTATCTCCAAATATTCATTTACCACATACCAAAATTTAGGTACCATGTCCAGGTTTTCGTGAATTAAGCTGCTAAGTGCAATCAGGCATTCACACTACTTGAGTTACCCATCAAGTGCCCCTAGTTCCTTCATATCTTCCAAGAATGCCATATAAGAGTCATCCATACTTGGCGGCTTTGGTGCTGCTGAAGAAGGCTGAGCATCACTTCTTATGAGGGTCACCGAAGGCTTTGAAATGGATGCTGTTGATGACTGCTGCTGCTGCTGCACCTTTGGTTTCGGTTTGGGGAGAGCAGATTCTCTCTTGACCCGGACTGATGCAGGAACCTGTAATGATTCAAAGGCGGAATGAGCAATCATACTACAGATCTCTGAAAGAGAAAGAATTCAGGCAAAAATACAAAGACAGATGGCATACCATAGCCGTCAGCTCAGGAGTGTGTTGTGCTAATGGTCTCTTTACAACTGTTGGGGCAGCTGACTTCACATATGATGGCTGCTGAGGTAACTGAGGCCGTGGTGCGAAGGCAGCAAACTCATCTAGTTGCATAGGGGGTCCTGGCAAAAATGGAGGCCGAAGCATCGGTGGCGGACCAGGGAGCACACCATACGGTGGCATTGGCATTTGAGACGGGGGAAATCCTGGAGGAGGTGGAGGGGGCCTGTTAACTCCAGGAGCCATAAGCGGTGGCCTTGAATCTGGTGGTGGCGGAGGAGGTGGAAATCTCATGACTCCAGGAGCTAGCATATCAGATTGCATTGGAGGCCTTGGAGGTAAAGGTGGCAAACTGGGTGGAGGCGGTGGTGGCAAGACCCTCGCTGCAGTATCTTCTTTAAGTCCAGGAGTGTCCTTTGAAGTGCTAGCGGCCTCCATGTCAGTTGATTTTGGTGGCAAACCAGGTGGCAGGGGTGGTGGAGGCAGGACAACTGAGGGCTGCAAACAAGGTTACATCAGACCAAGTCACAAAGGGCAGCATCCAAACATTTAAACACGAGGAAAGGGGGTTTGTTGCATTAACAAATGGATTAGAAGCACTAGTAAAAATACAAAAGAGATCCAAAGTAGGTACCTGAGCAGAATTTGTTTTGCTCTCATTTGCACTAGACGCTGGTGGTGGATTTGATGGGGGTGGAGGTGGTGGAGGTACTGTATGACCTGATACAGGTTCTCTCGGAGGTGGGCCAGGAGGAGGCGGAGGTGGCGGAGGTAATCCTGGTAGTGCTGTGTCACTGTTAGGTTTAGGTGGTGGTGGGGGCGGTGGTGGGAGTGGAGGCAAAGGGAAAGGAGGAGCAGATGGATCAATGGACTCTGAGGTGGCTGGCAATGGTGGTGGCGGTGGAGGGGGTGGTAGGGTCGATGGACCTGCTTCAGACTCTGACATGGAAGATGAGGCCCCGGTGCTGGATGAGGAAGGCAGTGGGATCCTTGGTCCTGCATGTCAACCGAGAAATGAAACTGAGAAAAAGCTAGTGATGATTGCTAACTGTAAGGAGATAAATTTTTTTAAAAGAACAATATTATATTCACAAGCAAAAGAGAGATGAATATAGTAACCTATAGATGATTTGTACATCGGAGGTTTTCCAGGTGGCGGCGCTCCAGATGGATTTAAGGTTGGATGATAGTAAACAGAGTCCTGTAGCATAAACATGCTAAGTATCTATTCAAATATGCAATAACCTTTTACAAACAATTCTACATCTTATAAATAACATAACACACCTCGGCCTTAAGATTAGCTCTATCATCTTCATCTGCTGTAGGCCGACTCTTTGGTGGTGCAAGATGGCTATGAGGAAAAAGAAAGCATATTGGCTGAGAAGGTCAGTGACATATCAATCTAATAGAATCAAAGCATAATATATCAGTAAGCCTCACCTGAACATAATCGGTTGCTCACCCTTCTCTTTCATTTTCTGTTCATATTCCTGGAAAAGATCATGAGAAAGTAATGAACTTCTACGTATGAATAAGAATTAGTAAGTGCCCACGTAGAAGTTGCCTACAAATTATAAAACTCCAAAATAGACTTTAGAGCAGAACTTGTGTCAAACCCAAAGCCAACAATTAGTAAAAAAATTCACTTTTATACTATGCAAAAGTGTGTAATTAGTTAACAATAGCTTCACCATGAGTGCAAAACAGATTAGGAGCAAATAACTTCACATGTATAATCAAAATCCTTCTAGTTCCAAACATCCAATGCTGTCAAACCAAAACATTCAGTCAAGATAATTGCCATAATCACTGAAAGCATAAGTGGAACAAAAACCTTATCATAGTTCACTAGCAAGAGAGTGTATTTTACTAATAACATTCAAGAAACCAATTTCCTATATCATGGTAAACTTGCATAGAAAATGGTATGGCACAAAATGTCATGTCATAATTTATTTAAAAAACAGAACACCAACATTACATTGCACAGCTAATTGCCATGGCACTGCCCGAAAACATGTCCAAGAGGATGAAATATTTATGAAAAGGGAACAGTTTACAAATTACTACAATGTTATGAGTAGGATAGGTTGAAAACATATAATATTAAAAAATGTAGTATGGACTTCTGAAATCAAAATACCTTTCGTTTCTTAACAATAAGATTGTACGTATCCTCAAGCTGTCTTTTCTTATGTTTCCTAGCCTTGTCGAGAGCACCATCAGCCTCTGCACCAATAAAAGAAAAAAGAATTTCAAGATTGACAAGCCTTAGAACAGACAAAAGTAATCATCAGTGCTACACTTCCACAGTCCCCACATGCAAGTAGATCTTTGAAAATATGAAAGAAAATAAACAACGCTGCAAATTTACTAGTGCAACTACAAGAGGCATGGAATAAAAAAAGTACTCATGATGAATTCCAAACAGAAAATCTGGCCTAATAATCAACATAAATATAAATTATTGTAGCTGAGCCTTATAGTCATACTGATTGAAATGCTCAAGAATGAACCATTAGATTTCCTATGCTAAAATGAGTATTGGTCACAAGACCGATGACGATCAAGACTATCAAGGCCTCTAGAAACAAAGCTCATGGAAACTAGAAAGTGAAATGAAATACCATGTTGAAAACAGGGCCAAAGTAGCTAGCAATTCAAAGAGGCAAATGCTGCAAAATATAATGCTTCATGAGGTCAGTACATACATATTTGGTAATTCCATGCTAATACTCTATGATGCTTTAAGATGCCTGAGACATACAGTTGTTTCAACAATAGGGTCATACTAGAAACACCAGACCAGAGAGAGATAATTAGCCAACTGCAAGAGTCAAATCAATGGAAAATTGGCATTCAAACTAAGTTAGGAAAAACCAATAGTGCATGAATGCAAATGTTGACGAACAATGTGCAAACAATGCTACGGCTACAGATTAAATTTGTCATAACTAAGACAGAACAAGTAACATGATCTCTTGATATATGCAAGCAGAACTAAATGTTTATCAAAGTGAATATATACTTTCTAGAAAGATCACATTCTGAATCGTTGTTCCAAATGGAGCTAATTTACTTACTCATCTTCTCCAATTTCTCAATCTGCTCCCGTATAGCCTCTGGATCCTTTTTCAAAATACCAACTTCCCGCACCTTCTTCCTTTCTTTTTTGTTCTGGAAGATACAAGGTAGGTGACAAAAGTTGAGAAAACTGAATCTAAAAAAGCGCATAACAATTGCAGGCAATTAGCTTGTTCGCTATGCCAAACTAGTTTGATCCTCTAGTGCCAACTGCCAACCAACATGGCTTTGCTACTTGTGCACGTAGATACATGTTCTACCACCAGAAAATATGCCTCAAAACTTTTTATTTTTCATAAGACAAAACTTACAAAACTCGAACCACCATTCTGTATTCTAGGCACAATATCCTTGGAGCAAATACTGATGCCTTTTGGAGAGCATACTATAACAGAAGTTTCTACACAGGCATGTGGTTTTGCATTTTCACGACAAATCTTCTTGAGTACGACATTTACCTAACCACAAGGACAAACCAAATCTAGCAGGCACTAATATAACCTATAAAAAAAATCAAGTTACTTCTCATATTTCACTAAAGAGCGCCCAAAATCTTCCTAAAATAAACCGACAACAAAGCTAAACAACATTACATATCAGAACAACACACAATTCACAGTCAAGCTGCCAAAATATTAGCACTTGTCACTAGGTATGGTTATTTATCTGGTTCTTGTACGGCATTTAAGATCTTCATGTCAATATGTAGCAACACAAAGAAGCATCTTGGATGGGATATGAGCTTTCCCATATCGAATTACTGGGTGATAATGCTTGAATCCACGGCAACGGACACTAACGCAAACAAATTTCGCGTCCAAGAACCCAGACTGAGATGTGCCATAATCAGACGAACCGATCTACGCAGCTACCGTCACCATTCCCACGGTCCCACCCCACCCCGGATAACCCTAATCAACCAGAAACAAGCCTAGCGAGTGAGGCCACCAGCGTCATCATCGCGACTAAGAAGAGAATATAACCGCCGGCACGCAACCGACAGGCGTGGCCGGGAGCGGGGAAACCCTAGGGTTGGGGGCGGGCACTCACCCGCTTGAGCTCCTTCTTCCGCTGCTCCTTGCGGAAGGCGTCGGTGGGGTTCATCACCTTGCCCCCCTTGGTCGTCTTCATCTTGCCCTCCACTTCCTCGTCCCTCTCGCCCTCCGGCGACGGAACTGCGGCTGCGACGGCGGCGAGGGGTTCACGTGCCCGACCCGAGCGTGTGCAGAAGGGAGGGGAGGATGCGTCCGGCGTGGGATCCGCCGCGATGGGACTCGGGTCCGTGGACCGTGGTTACCTGTTGCCACGCAACCAGACCCGGTTAATTAAGGCCCAGACAAACCGCCTCTCCCACCCAGTAAATCCAGCCCAGCCCACCAACAAAGGTTAGCCCAATCAACCTGAGCGTGACTGTTTTTTGTTTTGGGCTCTTTTGGAACCCTAAAATAGAAAAAGGCGTAAAAGGCACTTTGCACGTTAGTTATTAGAGCTTCTGCAGTGTATCACCTAGCATATTGTCTCGCTATTTATGTCCACACCGAGTAGGCATGATAGCCTTACAAACTGTTAGAGATACCTGCAGAGGTAGCCTATGGCACCATCTAACAAAAGGCATACTCATCGACTAGAGAGTGCATTGTGGATATATGGACTCCATCGTTGCAGACCACTTGTGTCCAAGTGACATTTCCACCAATGCACGAAGGTCCAAAGCCATCATGTCAAATTCCCCTAGCAGAAACTCTTGGCGCACTTGCCTCCTTGATTTGTCCGTGTCCATGCCCCTCTGATCAAACAAGAAACACCTTTCAATCTTCTATAGATATAGGTCGATGCACAAGTAGCAACATAGATATACTTGATCTTAGTAAAATTATTCAGATCCTAGATCGATTTGAAGGTGGTGCTTGGCTTCAAGTTCCACATAGTGGGGGCGGTGGCGGCCTCAACATCTCATGTAGAAGAAAGAAGAGATGGACAAGAAATAGAGTGCAAAGTATAGGCCTAGCCCAGGAGAACAACCTACTTTGGGAATTATGGCACCCCTGGACGTTCCTACACATGTGGATTGTCGCTTTTGGCTCAAGCCAACATAGTTGTTAGCCTTTGTTGTTCAAGCCCTTAGAGTGCATGTAACATGTATAGCTTTTTTTACGTGACAACAATATGGACACTTCATGCAACGTGTTGTTTGTTAGATTGTTTTGCAAAATAGCTCTATATTAGTTAGTGGTTGCATATATATGACATACATGATGGTTAGAGTCATGTCTATCGTATATTGTGCAAAAAACTATTTCTTCATAATGAGGCGACTTTACTCTCTCTCTTTACTCTATCTCTTAGTTTACTCTCTACAGTTAAAATTGTTCACATAAGATCTTATAGATGACACATTTATTTTTCTGAACACATGTGCTTAGGCATATACAACTATTAACAATCCTCTACAAGTTTTTGCAATTTCACATATAAAGATAACACGTACAATGGTTATAGTGACGTCTACTATAATATATTATAAGTTGCACTCGTCATTAAGTTGCCTCTTGACAAAGAGAAGATTTAACTCTCTCTCTTTCCTCATATATACTCTATCATGTGGACTAAAAATGCTTACATGGAATCTTATAGATGTCATTCTTTTTGCCTTTGTACATATGTCGTTTACTACCTATTAAGATTCTTAGTCATACGTGGACTAGACTAATACACCGTAGTAGCTCTACAACCTACCTAAGAGGACCTCCCTTCATGACATACTTACATACCATCTCTTCACTACCTTCTTTACACGCTACATACGGTACAAACCATCTCATTCAATCATACTCTTATTCAATAAACCAGACTTACTATTTTCCCACCATGTGTTACATAGCTCCAACCTTCGCTTTGTGAATCCAAAATTGCTTTAAAATAATACCAACGCCTACTAGGCTAAGGCAAAGAAAGCTAAGGTTAAGAAAAAAAGGTATTTGTTAAGAGAGGGAAAAGAAATAAAAAATAATATATATATATATATATATATATATATATATCCAAGACACTATCAACTCTAATCCTATGTATATCTCCCATCCCTAACTACTTCCATGGAGCGACAATTTTAACCATTTAATGTGCCTTGCCTAATATTACCCATAGGTTTTATGGAATTATTGCTACGTCATTATTGATCTTTCATTACTTTCTCTGGGTTCTCCCATCTATAGGGAAAAAGTACGTAGTTACGTAATGGACAAGTAACCGAAGTATGCAAAAAATGGGAGATAAATACAATTTATTATGCAACCTTGCTATTTTAGATCATAGTTTGTTCATGTCATCGATTGACCATATGCATCTGTTACTAGGCCTACAAAAACTTAGGCTCAATGAGCCACTTGAACTCAATTCACGAAATGATCGCTTGTTCGAGCAAGATTTGAGCCGATCATGAGCCTAACCCTAGTCTCATGCATGATTCTCAAACCTCCACAAACCAACCTCGGATAGTGCATTAAGGCCCCATAGGGAGATAAATGTACTGTTATGTTGTGATCTATCATATGTGTAATATATTGAGTCATACTTCTAGACTCTTGTAGGGTTGCATGCTATTATATATGTATATGAATCTGCTCGTGGCTATTCTATCATTATGTTGAAGTAGTCCTCCTATAATCCAAGCTTGATATAGATTTTGGGCTAAGCCCAAGCTTGACCATATATATCATAGGCTCACGAGATGAGCTCGAATAGCTTATTATTAAAGTATTACTATGAACATATACAAATGTTATTTCCCGATCTTTGTCCTACGCGTGTTATTACTACTCACAATTATTAGAGGTATATATTTTCATCATGTTGTCTCTACGATCCTATAAAACCATTTCCATTATGTAAATAGCTTACTTAGGCTATTCCTTCTCTTTTTCTTTGATATCGTATTGTTACACTAGAAATGTTTGTGTGCTACAATTGATATCCTTGTAAACAAGCTTGATTTGAGGCAAGTACAAGCCTACTTGCAAGCTCATCTTAATCATAGGCTCAATTCTATTAACTTTATAAACTTAAGGTGCTATAGTCACCCTCAAACTTGGACGATTTTGTAGACATATTTTGTGTGTGTGGAGGGAGGGGAGATGTATAATCTCTCATTTTTGATTTGTAAGTTATTTTGATTTTTCTATATAATATATATATATATATATATATGAATATGTAACAAAGGTTATGTACCTTAAAAAAACAAACGACTTATCATTTAGAGTTAAAGGGGTAAAAACCTTAATTTTGTTATTATAATTATGGTGGCGTTCGGTTGCTCACAATTTTAGCCGGATTTCACTGTACGCGGATGAAAAACACTGTTCTCCATCTCACAGATTTCTCCAGATTCATTCAGATTCCTTCAAATCCTTTCAAATGTAATGAAAACAACCTATAATCATGATCTTTGGAAAAAAAAAGCGAACAAAGCGAATATGGGGTGGTGCTAGATTCCTTCAAATCCCTTCCAGCGAACAGAACCTATAATCATGATCTTAGCCACAGGTGGTGCTCGTGCAAAATATAAACTGTAATGCCACATTTTGGAAGTTTTGAAATTATAAGGGAGGAATTTCCTTTGAATCTAAGGAGGAGTTGAACTGTCTTTTTAACTAAAACTCTGTGAACAAAAAATAAAACTCTGTGAAATTCCAAGCGTTTAAACCGGGACCTTAAAAGTCATTTGCTCCATTTAAATTACGGGAAGCTGTAACACCTGCACCTGCAGTGTTCCCTCCTCCCACTCAGATTTCATCCTCGGCCTCGTCTCCTCTCCTCTCCACGCCAAGCAACCTCCCCCACCCCGCGCCCACCCTCCCATGCTCGCCTCGAGATCTTAGCGGGCAGCTCCGGAGAGCGCCGACGAGCCCCCCGATCCCTCCTCGCCGCCGCCGCCAACCGACCGGTAAGCGTCCCGATCCCCCCACATGCTCTTTTGTTCGGGGGCTCCGCACCGATCGGCGCCGGTCTGCCGGATCGCGCCGGGGCCGGTCGGATCTGGTACGGATCTCGCCGCCCCGCGCGTAATTCCGCGATCGCCGCGTTGTGCTCAGCTCGGATCCAGCCGATGTGCGCGCGAGTGTGCCCCGTGCGCGGATGGGGGCTGTGGATAAGCTGGCGTTTTGTTCGCATTTGGCGTTCCTGGCTGACGTGCGTTTGTTGGCTGCAGGGGGAGGAGAGGAGGGGAGGGGAGCGATGGAGGCCGCCGACTACTCCGGGAAGCTCTTCGTCGGCGGCATCTCGTGGGAGACGGACGAGGCCCGCCTCCGCGAGTACTTCGGCCGCTTCGGGGAGGTTACTGAGGCCGTCATCATGCGGGACCGCAGCACGGGCCGCGCCCGTGGGTTCGGGTTCGTGGTCTTCGCCGACGCTACGGTCGCCGAGCGCGTCATCTTGGACAAACACATGATCGACGGCCGTATGGTAATTTTGCCATTTCCGCTCGTTTTTTGTCTGTCTGTCTGCTTACATAGCAAATGTGCATTTATATTCGAATTCTGTTGTAAAGCTTCTGCTTTGTGTTTACTGTATGAGCTGAATTGTGCATTTGGATTAGGTGGAGGCCAAGAAGGCTGTTCCCAGGGATGACCACAGTATCGTGAGCAAGAGCAACACAAGCAGCATAGGGTCACCTGGACCGGGCCGTACCAGAAAGATCTTTGTTGGAGGTCTGCCCTCAAATGTAACAGAGGCTGACTTCAGAAGGTATTTTGAGCAGTTCGGTGTCATAACTGATGTGGTTGTGATGTACGACCACAACACGCAGAGACCGAGGGGCTTTGGATTCATCACCTACGATTCAGAAGACGCCGTCGACAAAGCCCTGCACAAGAGCTTCCACGAGCTGAATGGTAAAATGGTAGAGGTCAAGAGGGCTGTTCCAAAGGAGCAGTCTCCTGGACCTGTTGCGCGCTCGCCTGCGGGAGTGGGGCAGAACTATGCTATGAACAGGGTTCATAGCTTCCTGAATGGCTTCAACCAGGGTTACAGCCCGAATCCTATAGGAGGTTACGGCATGAGGGTGGATGGAAGGTTTGGCCTGCTTTCAGGTGCACGGAATGGGTTCTCTTCTTTTGGCCCAGGTTATGGGATGGGTATGAATGTTGAAGGTGGGATGAGCGGAACTTTTGGTGCAAACTCTGGTTTCATCAGTAACTCCAATGGGAGGCAAATGGGTTCCTACTTCAATGGAAGTTCGAACAGATTGAGTAGTCCTATTGGTTACCTTGGTCTTAATTATGACTCAGGATCAATGTTGAGTTCCATGTCTAGGAATGTTTGGGGTAATGGAAGTCTAAACTACCCGAGCAATCCTACAAACATGAGTGCTTTTGCTCCCCCTGGAAATGGGGGTCAAGTCAGTATTACCGGCGACAATTGGGGAGGTCTCCCTTCTGCTCATGGGTTGGGCAACATTTCAAGCCTTGGGTCAGGGAACCTTGGCCGTGGAGCTGGAGATAATAACTTTGGTTTGCCTTCTGTCTCCTATGGGAGGAGCAATTCAACTGGGACAATTGGTGAGCCTTTTTCTGCATCAGGCAATGCGTATGAAGTGAACAACCCAGATACATATGGGAGCAGCTCTATTTATGGTGGTACATCCTGGAGGTTCGCTTCATCTGAAGTTGACATGCCTTCTTTCAGTCACGATCTTGGAAATGTTGATCCAAATATCAAATCAGACATGTCAGCAAGTTACATGGGCAATTATCCTGTTAACAACAATCAGCCAAGCAGAGGTCAGTTGCTGTTTCAACATTTTTCTCTGAACTACACATAGATTTTCGTTTCTGTAAAAAGGAATTATGCTGCATAAATGTGTTAGTTACCTCAATGGTTGGGGGCAAAAAAGGGAAGCACGATTTCTTCTCTTCTTGGTTTAGGAAACCATTGCATCTATTCACTCTGAACAGATTTTTCATGGCACTGTCTTTGTTGTGGTCTCCTAAATTCCATATAAATTTCAGGTTACTTGAATACTTGAAGTCTTGAACCATGACGTATTGGTTAGTTTGTGGTAATTAAAGCTTAAGTTTTGTTACGTGTCTGGCCAACTGATGTCATCCCATAACAGAATACTCCCTCCCCGCCCCTTTTACAAGGCAGAGTAGAAAAAGCTAGAATTCCAAGGTGTATATTTAATTCTCGCTAACTTCTTGCATGCATCCATGCATGCACACGTTATGGACTACACCGCACTCAGTGCACCCTGCGGTAAAAACAGAAGGCCGCCTGCAACGCCTTAACTCCTTTCCACATGCACCAGAGTTAGAACTCTGGAAGGCTTCCTTGTTCACGTGAATGATTGAGTTAATGCGGGTGATAATTGAAGCAATGCCTTGTATAATGGATCTGCCAAATTTTGCTGGTTTGCCTTGTAAAGGAACATGTAAAAACGGAAAATCATATAGTTCGGATGTCCTGACTCCTATGGCCTTCTAGAACTTGACAATGGATTATCAGTACATTTATAAAACACTTTGGGTTTGTACTTGTATGAACATGACATGTGCATCTTACAGTAAGAATTACTTATTTATCCTGTAGCACTGTGCGAAAGGTCCTCTAGCTAGTTAGTTAGGTGGCTTGAGTAGCACTCCTTAGGTGTCCTGTGTTTGACTTTTGACTCCCCGTGGGAGCGAATTTCAGACTGGGGTTAAAAAAAATCCCCCCGTCCGTCGCACACCAAAGCACAAGGTCTAAGTCCTGGCCCTGGTCGTGGTCGTTCTCACATGGGCTACGGTGCCGCTGTGTATGGGTGGGGCATGGGTTCAGGGTTTTCTCGACCTGCGTGAGAAGGTCTTCTTAGCAAAATTCCTGGGGGGCTCTTACCCCCTTGTAGGTCGAGTTTTCTTTTATCCTGCAGCATCGTGAATTGTCATACTATTGTTTCCAGATATTAAAATAGAATAATTGATTTATTTGTATTTTTCAAGCATTTTCCTGCTTTCTAAAGTTGAGTTACAACTTACAAATAGAAGATTGACAGTAGTAGATTGTAGAACTGAATTGTAATCAAACTATTTGAAGTCACTGGTCTATTGGCCCTTGCAGTTAGTGTTGCATTGCGCAGTTTAACTGTACAAGAAGCACCGTGTAAGCTTCTTGCCCTTTATTGGTGAGATTGGAATAGGATATTCGACTGGAAATGGACTTTTAGCCACATGATTATCAGAGTGCTAGGAATTGAACACGGGAACATATTACTTGCCAGTTTCATCAAACTAAGAGTTAGACTTAACATATCTCTAATAGAGCCCCTACAGCTTTGAATGATGATGAATAAGTCCAGTATTTAACACTGGCATTGTCTCTTCCATAGGCCTCAATATCTGCCTTGATATAGTCATTGTGCTTTGCAAACTCATTGAACATTGTACTGAATAAATCAAGGAGATTAGGAAGTGATTTATGTATGATGTTTGCAACATTCTGGTCAAACTCCGGATATATTCAATGATATTTGACATGCTGCCTGTGAATTCTTGTGACCAACTGGTTCCTACTGAAAGCTGAAATTTTCTACAATTAGTTTTGCAGCTTTGTCCTGCAGTTGAGTATTTAGTATACTGTTAAAAATGTGTAGTGTTTGCGTGAACAATCATGTAGTGTATAAACGAAAAAACATATTAAAAGATTGGAAGCCTAAAAGATTATGGGAAAAGAGGGAGTTTGCTTTGCTGTTTGTAGGGAAGCCTAAAAGATTGGAAGCCTGAAATTTTCAAAAAAAAAAAAAAATCCACTTTTGTTTTTTCTTAAAGGATCATTCAGGGTTGCGTTGGATTTGCGGTCATACAAGAAGGGATCGAGTTCGGAACGATGATATACGTGATAGATTAGGGGTAGCACCAATTGAAGAAAAGCTTATCCAACACCGGTTGAGATGGTTTGGACATGTCCAACGGAGACCTTCAGAGGCACCGGTGCGTAGTGGAATCCTAAGCCAAGATAGTAACGTGAAGAGAGGCAGAGGAAGACCGAAGTTGATTTGGGTAGAGGCAATAAAAGGAGACTTGAAAGGATGGAATATACCCAAAGATTTAGCCTTAGATAGGAGTGCTTGGAAGATAGCTATTCACGTGCCTGAACCTTGATTGCTTCTGCTGGGTTTCAACTCTAGCCTACCCCAACTTGTTTGGGACTTAAAGGCTTTGTTGTTGTTGTTGTTGTTGTTGTTGTTGTTGATCATTCAGGGTGCTCTTGTTTCCTATGCTATTGCTTTGCTGTTTGAACAAGTAAACTAAGCCATTAGGAAACTCGACAAATTTGAGATTTGAGTTAGGGGAATGCCTCTGCTTTTGTAGGTTATCTATTCATGGCATAATATATGATTTACTTAGCTTTGAAACTTTCATATTGTAACTAGTTTATGTGCACATGCAAATTTCACTTATTTCTAATGTAGTTTAGCATACTGCGTACCATATATTTTTATTACAAATACACTTAGAGACTGTTTGGATCATTGGAATTGAATTCATTCTAATAATTACAATTTAAGCATAGATTAATTAAGCTAATATAGTTTTATATGGAATATATTTGTATATTTATTGTTAGTCATTCAAGGGACATACTTAATGTTGTATTTCTATTGTAGGGAAGTGAGTTGAAGAGTGTGCTATAAGTTGGAGAATAGAATTATAGCATAATGATCTATAGAATCCATTTCCATCTTCCACCCTATGAATTTGAGATATGCTTATTTGTGAGCTTAGGAAAGTTATGGAATGTCAAATTCCAAGCCAAATAGCCTAATTCATTATGTAGATTTCAATTCCTCCAAAATGAAGGGATCCAAACGGCCCCTTAAGTCTTAATCTTACAACTATGGTACACATGTAATCTAGAATTTTGTAGGATGTGTTCTTGATTATTGTTTCCCTTTTACCCCGTAGAAGTGAACATCAGGCAAAACCACCACTTTTGTCATGCACTCATGCTAATAATTTTCGTACACTTATAAATAATTATGATTAGTTAGTATAAAAATTTATAAACTAGTAGGAACCAAGTGGAAACGAACCAGTCAACCTTTGCATCAATCCATAGCTGATTTAGGATAGTTTTTACTAGTTTGGCTGGTTACCCAAGCTGAAAGTCTATATACATATAGATGTCTATGCTTAGGAAGGTAGCAACAATGTGACAAGGCTGATTAAAAGAATTTAGATTAGGGAGGATGTGCTATTCACCATTGGACTAAAACATCACAAAACCAACCACTAAGCTGCTTTCTGGACATCTGTTCCATTTCTTTCTTTTCGTTATTTTGTACACAATGAAATGAAAAATGTCTTAGTTACTGAATATATCATATAATGGTTGTTTTGTATTTTCTTTTGTTCAAGTTTAAATAGGTACCTTAATGACATAAAGTCGGCGTTGGTTAGCCATGACTAGGATTCCTGGAATGAGAGCCATTTCATCTTTTTTCCTCTCTTCTTTTTGTATCATTTTTAGTGTATCATTTTTATTGTATCAGTTAAGCATAAGTAGTTTCACCAAATTGTGGGTTCAGCAAATCTGTTATTCTAGGTTTTGATTTTTGAAGCATATTTCTCTTTTTGCTTGACAACTGTAGAATTCCTGGCATGGTTCTTTTATTGTACAACAGAGGCAGTTGTTGTCTATTCTGTGTACTTGTTCATCAAGAATGCAGAAATGAAACGCAGTGTCCATTTGCATTTCCTGCATCTATTGATTAAAAGTCTGGAGATTCTGTTTTGTGGTTGATTTTGTTTGACATTCTGGCAATATGTCAATCCTTTATATATAAGAATAACGTTTGTAAATATCCTTTAAACATAAAAATATCAATCAGTTGCGATTTAAATGGGAATTTTGCTGTGGCTAGCTTTTATTATACCTGGCAAGAACTGAACTAATTTTGAATGATACACAAGGAAGCTTGGTGCTGGATCTTTGTTTCTCTTGAAAAGATGATCTTAATAGTTGGTTTACTGAGACTTGTGGCATCTTGCTCAACTTGTGTTCTAGAAATTACACAAGATATAGATTTAAATTAGACAAGCAGTATCTTCATGCATAGAGCATCTGGTCAGTACAAATTTCATTATGCTGTAAGCAAGACCTGCTTTTTAACATGAACTGTAGCCCATTCTGAACATGACTTTTCCTATGCAGAACCTTTTTTTCCTGGTATCAGAGCAAACTATATGTATGATTTTTTTGTTTCTTTATTTAAAAAATGAATTTAAATTTGTGTTTAACATAGTTTGAGGACAGAAATCAAACTTTTAAGCTCTAACAATGATATGATGTCTCCTTTTGCAGGTATCACTTCCTAGGGAGAGTATTACTATATATTCATATATGACTTGGGATAGATGAAACACCCATTCAGTCAGGCACCCAGGTGCATGACACTGTGAATCGGTGATTGTCAGGTTAGTTTTGTCTAGCTAACCAGTGGTGTGGTTTACAACACCAACATGCTAGAGGAGGAGCGGATACAGAAACATTTTCTGAAGGGCTTTTTTTTGTCATGTTTTAGTTTTGATTCCCGCGCGTGGCTAGGCCTTTTGGTTTTTTAATGAGATGTGCAGTGGTGATTATTGCGGCGCATATTTAGAAATCGTGTTCCAACATAAGCTGGAAAAGTGTCTGTATACGGATAAACATGTATACCAACCAAAGGGATGCTGTATTATCTTGCCCATTTGTTACTACATTAGTCTGTGTTTTCTATCGCTTTGAACCACTCTGGAGATTTTGTTGATTCGGTCATGAATTATGCATGCAGCGTGGTGTTTTTCT